TGGGGTTTGGTTTTGACCTAGAGCACTTATCTTTGTAGAGGTTGCGTGCTGTTTCTGCACTCCTGTGTTTGTGGCCACAACACAGTGATCCACATCACTACTGCTAGACACTAGTCTGTCCCCACTTGCTCTCTAAGATGAGTCTTCAATTCTGGCTCTAGTAAAAGCACAATGTAGAGAGCTGATAATGCAGATCAATTCCAGACCAGGGGTGATAAACTAAATTTTACAGTGTTTACCTATGATTCTGATAAGATATATCCTATCTCCCTTTGATATTATCTTGTCTGCTTTTCTAAGAATTAACTCCATAGTTGTAGATAACAGATTACAACACATAACACTATTTCCAGGGTCAGAATGTGAGTCAATTCACCGGCATTATGTTTTTATGTGAGAAAATATTCTACCATTGTGCACCAGTGGTCAAAGAATGAAAGGCTTTTAGGTCATATTTTAAGATTGGTTTCTCTCCTTTTGTATGTATAATTGGTTCTAGCCTAGCCTGCTGCTCACTTATGGAGGAGAACTCAGCATTGAAATGCTTGAGACTGAACTCGGACCTCCTCACTGGGTTTCAGTGCTTGATCAGATTGGTTTGTTCCTTCTAGAGAAAGGCGAGAACTGGATCACCTGCTACCAAGCACCAGGCACCCAAGAAGATCATATTTTTTAAATTGTTGCAAAATGAGTTACGTGACTCCACCAGGTTTTCAAAACTCTCGTTTTTAATTTTCCGTTTCTTTGTTAGCCTCGGCTTTAATGAGAGATTTGCAGAGCCATGAGGCAAGACAGGCCACCATTTTTCCTCACCCCAGCCGCCTCCTTAACTATGCATCAGAGACGCAAGCACCCAAGCGCACATTGTATTGCAGTATAATTTGAAATGTGAAATGCAAGTAGACCGTGGCATCAAATACATTTTCAATAGAAAAGAAGTTTTAAATGGGTAAAAAGTTTAAATTGCTTGCATACAAACTCCTGAAACTCCAGTGGAGCATAGTCACCTTTTTCCTTTCTTAAATTAAGCTATTGTTTTATTCTTATTCAGTCATTTTTATTGCATATATGTTTTGGAATGTGGCTATGTTGGCAAGAGGCAGTGAGCTGCTGAAGGGTACAACCTCATGGCATTTTCATTAGCTACCTGAAGTGAACAGAGGAAATGGTATTTCAGCTTTGCTGTCTGCTAGATTTTGTATGTGACACACAAAGTGGTTAAGCTTTCGAATGTCTGAAAAATACACCATATAGTATTTTTTGAAACAGCTTGCTTTTCCAGCATTGCAAGATCTCTTATAATGCACAAATCTGGACAGAGGGACTGTGGAAAAACTCGTACTTCTAACAAAATGCAATTACCACCTAAAAACCTGAACCTTTACCATGTGGTGCAAGTTCTTAATAGTAACCTTCAGCTGGTGGTTGCATTAAAGATTTATGGATGATTTAGATACGAGGTTTGCTAATGTTCACTCAGTCTTGTAAAAGGCTGCCGAAGAAGTCTACAAATGTTCTTGACATTTAGGCTAGACTAACACTCAATCATCCAGCTTGCTGTAAATCAGATTTGCATTTGGCTAGTGTAATTTAGTCTCCCCACTGCTCATTGTCCCTATGTTTTAGTATGTATGCAAGTGTTGTTTCTTCCAATAAATGCATTATTCTTGGGCTGAAAATGTTCTTTGCCTGCTGTTTAGCCTACTTCTGGGATTTATCATAACTGTGTTGAGATTTTATGTCAAACATGAGAAAACACAAACATTTTAGTTCCAGTTACCATACTGTAACTCAGAGACAGTATTTCAGTTTTTATTCCGTTTTTTGTTATCCAGTACATTTAGCAGGAGATATTGCTGAAAATATTTTTTGTTGCACTGGCTTTTGAAAGGGTCTCTCACCAATTTTGTGAATAAATAATGACATTTTAAACTTGTTTTAAAAAGATTAGCATGTTTCTGTGCATGGTACATTTGTTGACTTTGAATAAGAACAAAAATTCGATTTAAACATTTTGTTTTACAGTTTCATTTGCATGGATTTATCACTGAGGTGACTGTGATGAATGTGGTGACGCCATTGATTTTTTTACAGTATTTTTTGTTGACTTGATTAAGCCACGCTCGGTCATCCATGACAGAACTTCACTGTTCGTGTGCATTGCTAGAGTTGAGTTGAGCATCTTACCCGACACAGTTCACATTGTCTGTTTGACAGTCTGTGGACTAATGAGCTGCTGCCAGAACACACCATGAGACACTGTAAACAAACTACAGTGACGTCTCACAAAGGTCTGTGAATAATGTTTTTTGGTATGTCACATACTTGTGGTCATAATTACAGGGACACCAGGAAGTCTTTCTGCAATGCAACTAAAATGTTTTTTGTGTCAGTTTCTTCTGGCACAAGATTTTTCTAGCTGTAGATCCTATCATTTTGTCATCCTACCAGTTTCCTAAAGGCATGTTTTTACCACTTCCTTTGACATGGTGAGATCTACAGTATCTTATCTTATCTAAGATTTGGGGTAATTGTGGATCCATGATATCTAAATTTTATTTCCTTCCTTGGAGCCATAATAACACAAGTATTTTACACAATCATTCCCTGCCCTCATTTAGGCTCCCCAGTTAAAATAAAAGGGCATCCTGCCACAAGGTGTAATAAAGTACTAGAAGTACCTGAACTGATATGTCAGCAAAACATTTGATACTGATACATTTGTTGCTGTAGATGGAAAATACACGAAAAAAAGATGTATTTCTATAGAGCTTTTTTTAATAAATGAAGGCATTGGAGAATTTCCTGTTGCTGTATTAATCAATTCTCTATAGCCGAAGAAAAATAATTCTAACAGTTCCATACCAAATGGCATTATTTCTTTAACAATTAGTTTTGACTTGAACTGTAAAAGAGCATCATTAGTCTAGAGATAAAGCATTTTTATTGACTAGTTCAAATTGACAACACAGATTTATTTTGTCAGTAATTGACAACTTGACTTGTCCACAACCAGCAGGAAACTCCATAATCACTTCCTGCGGCAAAAATGACACCAGATTCTGTTTCTCGGTTGTTCTTTACAGCTATTTCTTTCTACTTAAATGACTTTCAGTACATAACATTTTTCTGCTTTCTACATTTTTCTACTTTCAACCTTTCAATACATAAAATTTCAGTATTACACTGCAGTGTTACTTTTCAACATATCAAGTCTGTATTTTGATATAAATTTTTCTCCTTAAAATTCTCTTCAAATATTTGTCAGAAATACTTTATTTCTTAGGATTTTTTTTGTATATAGCTATATTGAGTTTTAAATTTATTATTTTAATGTGTTTCTTCTCGTGTTTAATGCTGTGCTTACTGTTTTCTGTGGTTTTATTGTTGATCTATGATACTGTTCTATGCACCCCTTTCATTGTGAATGGTTACAATTAGAAGTCACATTTATTATTCATGAATAAATGCAAATGTTTTGTTTAAAAAAAATATTGGATTTTATTTTTTGTTGGTTGTAATGCCTTCTGCTACCTGTAGTACCAACAGCCCAACAATTCAGAACGACTGGATAGTATTATGCTGAAACTGCAGTTTGCTATCGGAAGATCAAAATAAGTTTCTCCTGCTTTCCTGCATTTTCATTTTTGAGATCTTCATTAGAACATAAATCATAATGACTTCTTATCATGTATTTAGATTATTTGCATTGTGCTTTCTAAAATCTCCTGTGAGGGTTGTAAATTATTGTAATATTGTATAGGATCATCCTATGGCAGGGCTGATATTTGGCATGGAAAAAAAATAGTATTTCAGGAGCTCATCTAGAACTTGATTTCCTTGAATTCTCCTGATTCAAGTCACCATGGAATCAGCAGCTTCAATCCAATAATGATCTTGTGGTTTTAGTGTAGGGAGATCTTTTTCCATAATGAGCAGGATGTTTCAGAGTGTACCTTGTTTTTACCCTGGTTCCTTTTCAGACAGGATGATCTATCACAGTTGTTCTGTAAGTCAGCTGTCTTTTTTTGTTCTCCCTCATCAAACAGCCTGGCATGTTTAATATCTTGTGAAAACAATGTTTTCCAGTGGCGAAGCCTCCAGCACAGAGAGCATGGCCCTGTAATGAAAGGAGCTCTGCCGTTTATTTTCTGTGTTATGAAAGACACCAAGTCATTGGAGGGCTTTTTCCTCCCCTCCAGTGCACTAAGGTTAATGCAATTAGGTCTACCTCCTGGAACAGAAGAATTGTCAATAAAGGATTTTTCCAAGCCCTAATTTTTAGCAGCAAATATCTGTTTTATAAGCAAGCCACCAGAATGACAATGAACTCGCGCGAGAGAGAAATTTGGATACTGAGACCTGAGTTAGACCCGTGTTTGGGTGACAGATGTTTAATTTTTACATGGAAGCCTATTTCGTACACTGAGGTGGCAAAAGGATGCTACTGAAATAATGAGAGGGAGGATGTTTGCATCTGTATGTTGCCTCTGATCAGTGGCCTGTCAGGGTTCTCTGACACCAGTTCTGATTTGGTCTCTGTAATAAAGCATTTGCTTTGCAGGTCACAGTGCAATTGACTGATCCTTTATAATGGTCTTCTTTTAAAGCATTCTCCTGTTGTGTAGCGAGGTCTGCTGTGACGGATTTAAATGATGTGAAGGATGGAGCTTTATCAGTGCTGTCACTTGTCATTAAAGAATTCACATTTGCTTAGAAAACAGGACCTCCGATTCAGATTCATCAAGGCACTGTAGTAAGGACTAGCTGAAACATCGGGTGGACCTAAACTATCACAAGCAAAGGGATGTGCAGGGGTTTTTATGTTGTTGCTGTGTAGTGGAATGCAAACAAAATAAATGCTTGCATTTTCTTGAATTTTGTGAAACTGAAGAAACGATCGCCCTACCGTTCTGACATTCCGTACCTTTTTCGCATACTTCAAATCTTACTCGAGTACCCGTTCCGCTACCTAACGTTTCTTTCATTCCGCATTCCAGGCAGGCTCCAGGTTCCTCTGAGAAGAAGGTTGGTCTCTGGAGATGTCTCGGCACCATAACCGTTTCGAGAGAGATTATCGGAGTGTGTGGGAACGAAGGGAACGGTGCGCGGCTCTGAACAATGGGATCAACAGCAACTGCAGCAGCTCCGGTAACTGTAGCAGCAGCAGCACCGGCCACAGCGGCAGCAGCAACAACCGGCCGGGTCTCCTTCCTTTGCCCGTCATCCCTTCCCTGCTCCCTACCCCGGTCTCGGTTGCCAGCACCACAGCCAGCGCCGAGCTGGGAGTCAAGCGCGTGGGCAACCCCTCCACCACGTCAACGGCAAAGGTAGGACAGCACGTCGGAGCTCAGCCTTTTCTGTTCACTTGCGCGCTGTCCGGAAGGGATTTCTCCAAAGAATAATTGCCCTAGATCCCCATCTCTTCCAATAGTACACAGGCAAAACATCATAACGTTATTTACATCCTCTCTAAGCTCTGCTTACAGCTGTAGTGGATATATGTATATATACATTTGGTATGTCTTTTCCACTTTTATACTACATCCTTGACTGGCCCATTTTTTATTTCACCATTGCACCATCCTTTTGGACATGTTTACAGATCCAAAGAGGGGTAAATGGTCCAGTTTAAGTGTCCCTAGGAGGACAGGAAGTAATACCACTTCTGCCTATTAGCATTGTGCTAATACCACACCTGCCTGAACATGATTTAGGCAGCTGGTAGCTAGGACATGCCGTAACACGTTAAGTGAAAGATCGCACTCTTGGCTCTGCCGTCTGAAGCCCTGATGGGACTCGGCAAGGAGGAAAAAATAGGCCATCGTTTCACAAGCACTGTAGCAGGAGTTCTGTCTCCAATGCTTCCGTGAATATTGTTGCAAACACTGACTTGGCTGCAATTTTTTTAATTACAGTAAGGCCTCCATATTTCTTCAGTGCATGATTACCGAAATTCAAACTAGTTAAAGTCCCAGTGTCTAAATGTAACATTCTCAATGGCTTCTATGTGAAAGGCTTGTAGAAGCAGCATTGATAAAGTTAACCAAATTTTGTGATCTGAAAATTGCTGCATCTGAAATAAACGTTGTTGTTAATTTTTGTAAAAATTGTGAGCTTTTCTGCACATTTAAATAAAAGCTAAATTACAATGTATTTAGTATGTCCCACTGTATTAAGAGTCATTTTGTAAACAAAGCTTCTTTCCTTATCTAATATGATTTTATTTAGTTGATCCCTCTTTAAAGTTTTAAATTTCTAGTTAGCTGCACAAAATTTAAGACTCATTAATCAGCTGCTTCTGTTCTGTTATTTTGTTTCTCGATCATTTTCGAAGTCTCAAAAAAATCATTTTCTTTGTCTTCTCGGCAAAACGTTTGGCATGGAATTTAAGATCTGTCTTCATTCTAATTGCGATCGTTTCTGAAATTGTAATGTCGCTGCAAGTCTGTCCCAAACAAGGAAAGTTAGCTGTCAAATTTCAACACTGACTCAACTCTGCTGCCTTAAGAATCGGTCTCTTTGAATAAAAAATCATCTAAGAAAGTAAAGCTTCTTTTCAAGGGTGGATAGTTACAATCTATGGAGATTATTCACTTTAGTTCTACTGATTTAGAAATAATTCATTTTTAGTAGTGTACACAAGTGTTTTTTTTAATATTCAGTAATCCCTCAGTTTTCAGAAGGAATATACAGTCTGCGGAATATACCAACATGCCATAAATCAATACCATTTTATTAATTAAATCTATTATATATATATTTGGATATATTCCTGTGTAACAAAATCTTAATTCTAGTATGTAAAAAACAACCCTTTCCTCATATACTCTCGTACCATTACTGTATGTACAGTATAAGTGTTTGTCTCTACGGAAGTATTATCACCTATGATGTAACAAAGTTATTCAGAAAACAGTTTTAGTTCTTAATTGTCCTCTCTTGTCTCAACTGTGGGTGTCTCAAGACAGAGAACGTTTGCAATATCATTGTTTTTCACCCTGCATCAGACACGTGGGGTTGTATGAGTTGCCTGATCACTTTGCGGGTGCACCTTACTTACATGCACTTGCTGGCTGTTTTCCAAGCTTCTTGGGGCCGAGGTACTTGAAACGTCTGGAACAGCAGTGAAAACTGACGGAGCAAGCACCTTCCCACTGGTTTTTCTTTTTTCCTGCATTTCATCAAACCGCACGGTTTTCTTTCTGTACAGTACAAAATCATATGGCACATGCTTTTTTTCAGATATCTATAGGATTTCCCAAAATGATTTATACATACACTGCAGCACTGAATATAACGCACATAACCCCTGGTAAACATTTTTATTAATACATTCACAATCCCTAGCCCGTTCGATGGCCAATTCAATGTACTTATTTAAATTTGATCAGTCATTGTCCATGTCTTGTGTGGCCACAAGTACAGTACATATTAATATAGTATGGAGTTAAAGGATGTTTAAAGGTTAAGAAATACTCAGTTATAATACAGTTATTTAGTGTATCTATTTTTTCTTCTACAATCTCCAATTCATATAAACTTTTTTATGCACATTTCTGTTATAAAGAATTTTATTCCCATGTTTGTCAATTCCTTTATTCTTAAATATCATCAGTTGCGTTCTTGAAAATTGAAGGATACATGCACATGATGGAAACCAAAGTAAAGCAAAAGAATCATTTGCATTTTGTTGCTGCTCATGAGTACAGTAAAAAGAAACGAAAGGAAACATTAAACATGTATTGAAGGTGTTATCCCGTTTCAAAAATTTGATGAGGGTTCAGGTGAATTGTTAATCCTGTATCTCGTGTTAGTGCAGTGTGTAATTATTGTATACAATAATTAAACACTGGGGAAGAAAGCAATCATGGTGATTTGTGTCACCACAGCATTGCAGATTTATATTAATTTATTCTGCCTTTGCATTTTGTTATTGAACAGTCAGTACAGCCACCTAACGTATTCTGAAGTTTAAAACAGTGATGTTGTGTTATATGTCTTTAAAATGGCATTAAAACACATTTGTTTTAATTTTAGGAGTATGTTTGTAGGAACCAAAAATCTCAGTAGTTATCTTAGTAATGACACGTAAGCCTGTGATCACATATCA